ATGTCTCCGGCATCAAGACGGTGATCCCGACGCCGTACGATGCCAAGGGCCTGCTGATCGCCGCGATTGAGGACAATGACCCCGTCCTCTTCTTCGAGCCCAAAGCAGATCTATAACGGCCCGTTCAACGGCCGTGGGATCGCCCGGCGGAGAACTGGTCCAAAGCATCCCGGCGGAGAAGTGCCGACCGGCTATTACCGCATCCGCTGGGCAAGGCAGCGACGGTGCGCGCGCGGGCGAAGGCGGTGACGATCCTGTGCTACGGCACGATGGTCATGTCTGCGCCGCCGTGGTCGCCGAGATGGGGGTCGATGCCGAGATCCTCGACTTGCGCACCCTGATCCCGCTCGACATCGAGGCGATCGAGGGCTTCGGTGAAGAAGACCGGCCGCTGCATGATCGTGCACGAGGCGACGCGCACGGCGGGCTTCGGCGCGGAACTGTCCGCGCTGGTCCGGGAACGCTGTTTCTATCATCTCGAAGCGCCGATCGCGCGCGTGACCGGCTTCGACGCGCCCTATCCGCACAGCACGGAATGGGCCTATTTTCCCAGCCCGGTCCGTATCGGCCAAGCGCTCAAGACCCTGTTGAAGGACGCCTGATATGGCTCGTTTCACCTTCCGCCTGCCCGATATCGGCGAAGGCATTTCCGGCCGAAATCGTCGCACGGCATGTGAAGCTCGGCGACCGGGTCGAGGAGGACCAGTCGGTCGCCGACATGATGACCGACAAGGCGACGGTCGAGATGGGTCGCCGGTTTCCGGGCACCGTCGTCGAGCTGGCGGGTGAGGTCGGCGACCGGTGCCGATCGGATCGGCGCTGATGGTGATCGAGACCGATGCGGTCGAAAGGATCCGTGTCGCCCGCGACGGAAGAGGCGATGCTGGAAGCCGAAAACCCCGGTGTCGAGGAAGCGCGTCTCCCTCTCCCCTTTGTGGGAGAGGGCCGGGGTGAGGGGAGCCCCTGAAGAGCCCCCGTGGCCACCTCACTGACCCTCTCCCCACAAGGGGAGGGAACAGAAAAAGGTGCTGGCCTCGCCCGCCGTCCGGGCGCGCGCACCAGAATCTGGGCATCGACTTGTCGAGCGTGAAGCCCGCCGAGGGCGACCGGGTGCGCCACTCGGACCTCGACGCGTTCCTGCGTTATGGTTCCGGGCGGGCTATCTCCGCCCGTGCCCCCCGTGCCGACAAGCGGTGCGCGTCATTGGGATGCGCCGCCGCATCGCCGAGAACATGGCGGCGTCAAGCGCGCCATCCCGCATTTCACCTATGTCGAGGAAATCGACGTCACCGCGCTGGAGGACACGCGTAACTGAATGCGGGGCGTGCAAGCCGGCCCAAGCGGACGCTGCTCCCGCTACTGATAGTCGCGATCTGCAAGATTTTGCCCGACTTCCCGATGCTCAATGCGCGCTATGACGACGAGGCGGGCGTGGTGAACCGCTCCGGGTGCGGTGCATATGGGCATGGCGACGCAGACCCCCGCCGGGCTGATGGTCCTGGTGATCCGCAATGCCGAGCCGCAATGTCTGGCGGCTGGCGACCGAGATCGGCCGTCTGGCCGAAGCTGCCCGCGCGGGCAGCATCGCCAGCACCGACATGGGTGGTGGCACGATCACGCTGACCTCGCTGGGGCCGCTCGGCGGAATCGCGACCACACCGGTCATCAACCGGCCCGGTCGCGATCATCAGCTAACCGGATCGTCGAGCGGCCCGTCTTCCCGCCGACGGGCGCGGGGGCGAGACGATCGCGCGCGCGAAGCTGATGAACCTGTCGATCGCTGCGACCACCGCGTCGTCGATGGCTATGACGCGGCGAGCTACGTGCAGGCGTTGAAGCAATTGCTCGGACGCCGGTGATGCTGTTTGCGGATTGAAGGGGATTTTGCTTTTTCGACTTCGCTCAGGCTGAACGGGGTTTAGGACCAAGGCGCCGTTCGCTGAGCGAAGTCGAAAACACGCATGAACCTATCCGCCAGGCGCGCGTCCTGTCTTTGAAGGCAGGGAGAACCTCATGCGCGGAATGACGGCAGGATCGCTCGAAATCACCTCAGACGGCACGGTGCGTGGCATGATCCGGTGGGGACGTGATCGTCGCATCCGGTGTCCACGCCACCATCAAAGAGGCATGGTCGCGGGCGATGTCATCATCGAGCCAGCGCAATGGTACGGATCACCGGCATGGTGTCGGGCCGGGTCGTCAGCAGGGGCGGCATGGTTGAGGTGAAGGGTATAATCGCGGGCTGATCGGGCCATCTGTCGCCCCCCGCGTGGAACAGGGGCGGCATGACGACCGATCGCACTGCACGCACCGGCCTGTTGCTCGGCATCGGGGCCTATATCAGCCTGGGGGTGCCCTCTATCTCAAGCTGTTGAAAGGGCGTGCCCGCGCTTCCAGTGCTGGCGCATCGCATCCTGTGGTCGCTGTTGTTGCTGGCTGTGGTCATTAACGATCGCCCGGCGCGGGCAGGCGATCTGGCGGCGGCGCGGGGACGGACGCTGTTGCTGCTATGCGCCAGTGCGACGCTGATCCGATCAACTGGCTGGTCTATATCTGGTCGGTCCAGAACAATCACGTGCTGGAGGCGAGCCTCGGCTATTTCATCAATCCGCTGATCAATGTGGCGCTCGGCGTGGCGCTGCTTGGCGATGGATTCGCCGAAGGCCAGGCGCTGGCGGTCAGGATTGCCGCGCTCAGCGTACTGGTGCGCTGACGATCAGCGGCGGGGCGATCTGGATATCGCTGGCACTCGCCTTGTCGTTCGCCTTTACGGTCTGGTCCGCAAGGTCGCGGCGATCGATGCGCTGGGAGGGCTGACAGTCGAGACGCTGCTCCTCGCCGCGCCGGCATTGGCGGTCCTGTTTCCGCCGTGCCAACAGGACAGCGGCGTTCAGGCGGATCGGCATCTCGACCTGCTGCTGATCTGGCGGGGCGGTGACGGCGGCACCGCTCCCCTGATATTCGCGGCGGCGGCGCGGCAGCTGCGTTATGCGACGCTGGGCTTGCTGCAATATCTCGCCCGACACTGCATTCGCGCAGGCCGTGCTGTTGTTCGGCGAGCCGCTCCGGCCGTCCATATCCACCTTCGCGCTGATTTGGACGGGGTGCGCTCTACGCGATCGACAGCGTGCGGGGAGCCGGACGCCGGTTACGGCCGAATAGGGTCGCGCAGACCCTAATTATTGCCGCCCGCTCTGCAATCTTGCCACGGCCCGACGCAGCACCCCGCAGCGCAACTCGTGTGCTGACCGCGGTCAGTCGGTTGAGCAGCCCCGACACCATGACCGCCTGACCGCGATCCAGCGCCGCCAGCCCGTCGCGCACCACCTGTTCCGACGTGCCCGCAAAGCGTTTGTTCGAACATCGGCGTCTGCGCCATCCCTGCGACATCGGCGAATTCGGTCTTGGTCGGTCCGGGACACAGCGCGGTGACGGTCACGCCGCGCCCCTTCACCTCTTCATGCAGCGCCTCGGAGAAATGGAGGACGAACGCCTTGCTGGCATAATAGACCGCCATATAGGGCCCCCGGCTGAAAAGCGGCGGTCGAGGCGACGTTCAATACCGCGCCGCGCCCGCGCCAGCATCATCGGCAACAGCGCATGGGTCCAGCGCGACGAGGGCGCAGGTGTTGAGATCGATCATCCCCAATTGCGTCGCCAGATCGCTATCGGCGAACAGCCCCAGCGCCCCGTAACCGGCATTGTTGATCAGCGTATCGATATGCAGCCCGCGATCCGCCACGCCGGAGAGCAGCGTCTTCTTCACCCCTCTGGCTGGCCGAGATCGGCGGAATGACGTGCACCTCGACCCCCCGGCCGCTGGCCCAGTTCCTGCGCCGGGGCCGCCAGACGATCGGTGCGCCGGGCCGTCAGGACGAGGGTGACCGGCTTCCTTCGCCAGCGCCCGTGCGAAATCGGCGCCCAGCCCGGCGGACGCGCCGGTAATCAGGATGGTGTCGGGCATCGCGGCCTCCAGGGCGGCGCTATCCGTTCAGCCAGCCGCCGGTGGATCCTGCCCATAGCAATCCGCGTCGCAGATGCGGGTTCCCGCCACATCGTCTTCCAGATCAGGCCGGTGCGATGATTCTCGATCATCGCGACGATCGAGCCACAGTCGATTCCCAGATAATCCTTGTCGACCCAGCCGATGCCGGGACGATCTCGCCATGCTTCAGCGGCTCAGGCGGGTTGGTCGCGTCAGGTTGAACGCGTCGGGAAGCCATATTTGCCGTAGATGCCACGGCCGCCAGCGGTCATGCATCGCCCGCACCGCCGGAATCGCGATGTCGGGCGCGAAGGCGATCGAGGCCGCAGCCGTCGGCGCCAGCGTTCCGTCGTCACGGTCGCACGGCCCGCGCGCCGAATAGCTGAAGAATTGCCGCGATACGCCGTCGATCGTCTGGGTGAAATCGCCCGGCCGTCACGGCGGTCAGTCCCCCGACGTCCGCGCCATGGCCCCGCCAACGCCCGGCATTCTCGATCGCATAGCGTTGCTGGGCATAGGCGGCGCGGCGCTTTATTCTCGAAATAGTCGATGCCCTTGCCCGCCATGTAACCGTCGCGGATGCCTTTAAAATCGACCCAGACATGGCTGTACTGATGGCCGAACAGCGGTGGGGAGTGCAGATGCGGCTGACCCCAGCGATCTGTCCAGCTGTTCTCGAACCGGCTCGACCGGGCGGCCCGGGTGCCCTCGGCAGCGGATGGGTGGGGGCCCAGCGCCAGCAGATAGAGGCAACATACCTTCGTTGTAGATATCCCAGTCAGATTTGATGAAGCCCGTCTCCGGATGCCAGCCCATCGACAGCAAGGGTGCGCGCGGCGTGATCGAAGGTCAGTCGACCGCGCCGTAAATCCGGTCGGCCAGCGTACGGATCCGCGCCTCGTCGGGATGGTCGCCATCATACCAGCTCTGCGCGCGAGCACGCCGCCCAGCAACAGCGCGGTATCCACGGTCGACAGCTCGCACCGGGCGAACGCAACCCCTTGGTCACGCCGAAATGGTGAAAAAAGCCCTTATAGCCGCTGAAGCCCGTCTCGCCCGGGCCCTGCGGCGCGTCGGCGAAAAATTGCAGCGTGGTCAGCGTGCGGGCGCGCGCCTCTTCGCAGGTGATCAAGCCATTAGTCCACGCCGACCGGATGAGGCGGTCAGCGCAGACCCGACAGCGGCGATCGAGGCGAAGGACGGCGTCGGCCAGCGATCGGGGCGAGCCCCGTCTCGGCATCAGTCGTCTCCAAAGAAGCGGAAGGTCCGTTCCTGCAGATCGCGGATCAGGTCGGGCTGCACGGCGGGGGATGAGGCGCGGCAGCGCGACCCGCCCTGCCGATCCGTGCATCCGCCATCAGCGCGGCCGAGCTCAGCCCGCCCGCACCGATCAATTGGCGGCGATCATACATGGCGTGTGTCCGTCATCTCAAGTGAAGTGGGCCCGAGGGTATCTCCGGCCCGGTCCCCCAGGGATCAGAAGCGATAGCCGACCGGAACTGCACCCCGGGCAGGGTCAACAAGTTGATTACCGATCCGCGCAGGCTCAGCGGGTCGGTGACGCCGCCGCGCCAGTGCGGGGGTATTTGTTGAAGAACTCGTCGAAGCCCCAGAAATTCTTGTTGTTGAAGAGGCGTTGAGCAGGTCGACCGCCGCCTCGAACTGGTCGTCGCGGCCGAAGACGCGGAATTTCTTGGCCAGCGTCAGATTGACTTCGCAGAAGGCGAACAGCCTGATGCAGTTCTTCTCCGGATAGGCGGCGGTGAAGCGGTTGAAGCCCGGTCCGCGCCATTGGTGCCGTCGATCACCTGATAGGCCGAACCGCTGCCCAGCGTCGTCAGCGTCGAGAACTGGAAGCCCAACGGCGGGTCGGCAATGCCGGAGATCACCACCCGGTGCCGCTCGTCGCCGCGTCAAGCGCCAGCCATAATCGTCGGGCGTGACCGCATCCGGGCTGAACAGATCGCCGCCATTTCTGTTTCCGACTTGGACAGCGTATAGGCGATGTTTACGCCCCAGCCGAGGACGGGGTGTAATTCTTGTCGAGCGTGAAGAAGATCGCCTTGTACCGCGTGTCCAACCCGTCAAACCGATAATGGCGTTGGAATAGCCGAAGGGATGACCGGCGCGGTGTTTGCAGCACGGGCCTGGCCGTTCAGCGTCCAGGTGGCGAACAAATTGGTATAGCCGTTGCGGCCGCGCTGATACGAGCCGGTGAGCGGGCACGGAAGATGCCGATCTCTGCCGCACGCCCAGCGAGACACGGTCGTTGACCGGCGGGCGGGCATTGTTCTTCACCGCGAACAATTCGGGGCAGGCCGACTTCCGGATTGGTGTTGATCAGCGATAGCAAGCCGTCGCGCGGGTCGCATAGGCGGGAGTTCCACAACACGGTGGGCAGGCCGTTGCGCGGGCGTCCGTCGGCGGAACCCGGAACACGCCGATCGGATTGATCCGTACATCAACTCGTCGACCGTGTTGTTGAAATTGTTGCGGTCATAATAGCGGCCCGCGCCGCCGAAGATGACGGTCGACTGGTCGTCCTTGATATCCGGGGAAAAAGCCAGATCGCGGTGCGATCGCGCCCGCGAAAAACACGCCGGCTGCCGTCGGTGATGTAGTTCTCAGGGTCGAAATAGCTGGTGCGGGGCAGTGCGCGCAGCGCAACGGCCACACAACGGCGGGAGTTCGATACTGGTTGTTGAACCCGTTAGTCTCATAGTCCCAGCGGACGCCGACATTGAGCTGCAACCGCTCGGTCACGTCCCAATCGTCCTGCGCGTACAGCCCGACACAGGTGTGTTCGATCCATAGATGCGGCCATTGCCCAGCCCAGCCGCGCCTCTGCGGGAAGAGAAGTTCAGATTGTTCTGCGGTTCGCGGCGATAGGTATAGCGCGGCTGGATATAGGCACGGTTGTTGAACTCGATATCGGTGATCTCGACGCGCCCGCCCACCTTGAAGACGTGATTGTCCGGGCCGCTATAGGTAAAGTCGTCGCGGATCGTGTAATTCTGCTGCACCTCGCGGCGGGTGGGTCCTTGCCGCCGAAATGATGACCGCATCATAGTCGGACGTAGCCAGCCCCGGATTGAGCGAGGTCAGGTTGGTTTGTAATAGAGATAGTGGCGTTGAACTCATTGATGAAGTTGTCGCCGTTATAGGTCCATTTGTAGAGATAGGTGTCTGACGGTATTAAGCTTGTTCTCCGCCGCCTCATAGGCGACGTTGCCGCCAAGCCCTGAATGTCGCTTTCCGTCCGGCAGCGGCTGTACGACAGGTCGAACACACGGCGGTCATCGGGCGTGAAGGTTAGCTTGCCGAAATAAAGTCGCCGCGGAACGGGCTGACATAGGCACCCTCGAACTCGCTTAGGCGGCGGCCCGAAAACCCGCTCGAACTCAGCGATTGCAGCGGCCGGCCAGTGCTCTGCACATTGAAGGCGCAGTTCTGGTCGTTTCCTTCATAGGCGCCGAAGAAGAACAGCTTGTCCTTGATGATCGGGCCGCCGAGCGACACGCCATATTGCTTGCGGGTGAATTCCGGTTTTGGGCGGTCGTTGATCTCGTCAGAGACGCTGCGTTCGGTCAGGCTGCGGTTGGTATATTGACCGAAAATCTCGCCATGGAATTCGTTGGTGCCCGACTTGGTGACGGCGGTGATGATCGCCGAGCCGGCCTGTTCATATTCGGCCTTGTAATTCTGGGTCAGGACGCGATTCCTGCCGCGAGCTGGCCGAAGGATTGCCCCAGCTGTTCTGCTGACCCGCCACGCCGCCCTCGCGCAGCTTGTTCTTCAGCGACACGCCGTCGATGAAGACGTTGACTGGCTGGCCGTTGACGCGCCCGGGTGAAGCTCTTATCCGTCTCACTGTCATTTAGCGCACGCCGGGCGCGAAATGCGGCGAAAAGGTCAGGAAGTTGCGATCGGTCTGCGGAAGAGTGCGGATCTGCGTCTGGCTGACGTGGTCGCGATTTCGCTGGTGCGGGTTTCCGCAAGCGCCCGCCAGTGACGACGATTCCGGCCCCTCGACCGCGCTGTTGCCGCGGCCCCGCCGGTCAGCCGGATCGGCGCTGCCAGCTGGGTCGCAGTGCCCGGGGTCATGTCCAGCGTTGCCGATTGACCGATCGCCACGGTGACGAGCTGGGTCACGGTCGGCCATCAACCGGTCACAGTCACGGTACTGGCTGGGGCGCAGACCGCCGAGCACGAAATTACCCGACGAGTCGGCGGTCTGACGGAAGGTCTGGTTGGTGGCGGTGTTGACCGCGACGATCTGCGCACCCGCGCCCCGCCCCATCGGCGCCACGCACTGGCCGCGTATCTGCGCGGTCGTGTCTGCTAATGCGGCGGCAGGCGCGACCATGATCGTCGCCAAGCGCAGTATCGTGGAGGTGGCCAGCGTTGCGCGCAGCACATACGTCATCATCGTCTTCATCATTGTTCCCCATATGCCCTGGCGGCCCCAAGCGGTTATCGGCGCCGGTCCCGTGTTCAAGGTGCCATCCCGGATGGGCTTCGCGCGTTGGCGCGAAGGGCAGGAGCGGCAAGGGGAAGGGGCGGCCCGTCACCGGGCCGCCCGGCATCCTCTCCGGGCACAGGCCCGCCGGCTCCAGATGCCGATGCCAGCCTGTGATCGGCCGGTCATTCTGGCATGGCGGTCATCTACGCGCGGTCATGGCATGGGCTCAGCATCTGTTGGTGCCGTGCCGTTGGAACCGTCGTCACTGTGTCTTTCGAGCAACAGGTATGGCGCTGGCGTGGGATGAGAAATGGCGGCAAAGCTACCGATATGACGAGTAGGGTTGAATCGCGACGGCTGCGTCTCCGTAATTACGCTACGGGATCCGCCGAACAATCATCTGGGGCTGGAACCATTTCCGATTGGCCGATGCCTTTTGATTCGGCTGATGCCGATCCGGATGTACGCGCCATCCTGCTTCGATCCGAGGGTCAGGTGTTTGCGCAGGCGCGGACCTCGTCAACGCCAATCCGGTGGCCGACCCATTGCCGCCCGGCAGCCGCAGTCCTTTACGTCGCGGCGGCAGCGGCTCTGGCGTACGAACGCCGGTGGTCGCAACGGTGCAGGCGCAACAGTCGGCGCGGGGCTTGGTCTGGCGCTGGTCGCCGATTTCCGCATCAGCTCGCCCGGCGCGCTTCGTCGCCAATTTCGTCCAACTGGGGCTGCATCCGGCTTCGGTATCTCGGCGGTGCTCGGCGGGTGATCGGGCGCCAGCGTGCCGCGATGATGCTGATGACCGGGCGGCGGATACGCGGCGAAGAGGCGGAACGCTGGGGGCTGGTCGATCAACTGGTTTCGGCGGAGGACTGGACGCGGTGGCGATGGCCCACGGCGCAGGAGATCGCGGCGGCGGCACCGCTGGCGGTGGCCTCGACCCGCGGACCCTGCGCGGCGACCTGCGCGCCTGATCGGCAGCAACGGACCATGAGCTGGCGGGCAGGCGGTGCTGATGCAGACCGAGGATTTCGTCGAAGGGGTACGCGCGGTCACGGGCGGCGGCCGGGGCGGTTTATCGGGCGGTAAGGCGGAGATTATCCCAGCCGCCCGTTCCGCCTAAGCGACGTCGAAGGCCACGCCCCCAAAACTGCAGCTGAGCCAAATGCCCTGCGGATATGGTTTCCCTTGGCCCTCGACTGCGCTCAGGGGGAACGGAACGTGAGGGGCAGCCCTCAGCCATTGCGTGCTGCACGTTCCGCCTTGCGTGCCGGCAGCGCGGCGGGATCGTGCGGCGTTCCTCAGCCGGCTTGGCGCTCTCAATTGGAGATTTCGCGGATCGTCCGCGCGCACCCCAAACACCAGCCGGTCGCCTTGTCCATCGTGCAGATATTGACGCACGGGCTGGCGATCGCCGGGCGACTGGGGTTCGACAGAAGCTGATGATGTCGAGCGACATGGGCGGCGTCAAACGGTCAGCGAGACTTTCAGGAAGTCCGGGATCGGCCCGTTCCAGCCGCCATCATCGGTCGTCTCGGCCGCGTTGGACCGGCGACGGTCGCGGCGGCGATCGCCACCATGCGATTCCTCCGCGCGCGGCTCCTCGACACGCGGTTCTTCGCGGCGCGCGGGGCGCGCGGGCGGGCATTGCTTCGGCTTCTGCCTCGGAGAGGGGCGTCGCCCTCGACCTCCTGCGCATCCTCGCGCGGCGTGCGTTCGCGGCGACGACGGCCGGGGCGCTCTTCCTCCGCGACGGGCGGCAGTTCGAGGCGATCGATCCGCTGTCCGGTCAGCTTCTCGATATTGTCGATATTCTCAGCATCGTCGGGCGCGACGAAGGTATAGGCGGTACCGGTCGCGCCGCCGCGGCCGGTGCGACCGATACGATGGACATAATCGTCCGGATGCCGGGGCGCGTCGAAGTTGAACACATGGCTGACGCCCTTGATGTCCAGCCCGCGTGCGGCGACGTCCGAGGCGACCGAGGATATTGACCTCGCCGCGCTGAACAGGTCCAGCTCGGCCGGGCGCTG